GGCCCTGCCGTCGAAACCCTCCCAAAGGAGCCACGCCGGGCAGCCCCTCCCCCTGCTTCACCAGGGGCTCCAGGGAGCGGCTGCTGGCCAGCTGCAGCCGTTCTCAGATGCAGCCGCGGTTCGTTTTCGCTGCTTCCCAGTGACGGGAAGGAAACGGTTCTGGGCCCCGGGCAGGACGACCGCCGCTGGAGGACGGGTGGAGGAGCGCGCCGCGTCCATCCTCCCGCGTCTCTCCGGGGCTTTCTGCACCGCTGAGCGGGCTGTCCTTCTGGATCAGCCACAGTGCTGCTCACGTGGGGACGGCTGTTCCCGGAAGGGGCCGCCGGATTCCCGTTCTGTTCTGCAGCAGGGGCACTCGGGATTCCACTGCCACCCGTTTGACCCCCATGCTCTTCAACCCCTCCCCAAAAGTGCTGGGGGGGCGCAGCAGTGCCGTGGGGCAGCTGTGATCTGCGGGCAGCATCCAGACGGGACAGCGGATGCCCGGGGAAGAGCGAGGGCCAGTAAGCAGAAGTTCGGTCCCGGAGGAGGGTGGCACCATTCGCGAGCGGCTCTTCCGGAGCTTTGCTGCGAGCCTTTCGGGACAGAGGTGCCCCTGCCCTGGCAAAGTCCTGCTGCGCCCAGTTTGAAGCACTGGCGCTGACCTAGAAGCCAAGGCGGCTGGGGGCTAGGCCACTTGGAAGGCCGTGCCATGTGCACCTCCGGCCTCTGGACACCTCCTCCAAGTAGGGCTAGGTGGGTGCCCACAGGAGTGGGGCCTCTCCCAGCAGTGGGGGGGCCTCCCCTCCCCCAGAAGATGTTTCCTAATTCTGCTGCTCCTCCAAAGGATCCCTTCCAGAACGTGAAAAAGATTCGCCAAGACCCGTGTGGGGTCCTTGGGATGCCCAGCAAGTATTTGGGGTCAGGGAGAACTTGGATTTGTAAACCAAGTTTCTCACAGACCCCTAAGAGTGTCCTGGGTGCAGGCAGAGGTGCTCCAGCAGAGAGGAGGGGTGTGCGGAGGGGGAAGCCCCAGGATGCGCTGCTGGCACCATCCCCGGGGGCTCCTGGACCCCTACTGTGGCCTCTCCATTGCTCCCACAGAAGCAGCCTCAGCCCCATCCGTGCAGCAAAGCGCTCGTTGTGGGGCGTTCGCAGTGCTTCCGGCCTCCTCCGCTTGGAGCTCGGCTCAGGATCGGGGAACCTCTCCACTAGGAACGCCCCCGGAAGCGCCCTCCCTTCCCCAAGCGTGTCAGTGCCCGGGTGGCACCCCCATTCACTCGCCATGCATGCGGCTGGACCACTCCAGGCCCCGAGGGCATTCCGAGCAGCGTCCCTTTTTCGTAAGGGAAGGACGGGAATGTTCTGCAGAGCGGTCCCCCAGTGGAGCCAGTGGCTGTGCCGGCTGCATCCCGTACCCACATCTGTCCCACCATCCCTGACAGGCGCCCTGGCCCCCCACAAAGGGGTCTCTGCATCTGCTGACCTAAGGACCCGAGCATTTGCACAGGGACCTTGTGCTAACATGATGTGATGATGATCATCATCATCTTCTACACCACCCCACAGCCGGGGCTCCCCGGGCCGTTTGCGGAGTTCGTGAAAACAGACAATCAAAATGCATTGCAACGGGGGGGGGGGGGGGGGGGCGCCTCCGCAAGGCTTAACCCCGCCAAGTGCGGGGATCGCACCTGGGGTCCGCCCGAGGGGCGTTTCCGGAGGGACAGGGGGCTCCCTGGGGCGCACGCGAGCGCACCCGGCCCTTTGGCGCGGCGGGACGTGCGCCGCGCCGCTCCCCGGCTGCCCGCAGCTCAAGGGCCGGGCGGGCGGCGCGAGGGGGCGCGCCGCCCGCCTTTCCGGGGGGCGAGGCTGGGCAGCTGCCCGCGCGTGACCGCCGCCCGCCTCTCTTGCAGGTCTGCGCGGCTCCGGGCCGCGGCGGCGAGCGACGCACAAGGACCTGACCTCGAGCCAGCACGGACGAAGCCGCGGCGCGCCCCGCGCCCTCCCCACGCAGCGGACAGCCGGCACGCAGCTTCGCGCCCCCGCGCACCGGAGGGCGCGTCCCGGCCGCCGCCGCCGCCGCCGCCGCACTCAGCACGGGGCGCTCCCCGGCCCGCAATAAAGCCGTGCGAATGGGCCTCACGCCGCAGGCCCCTCGCGCGGATGGCGCACCCGGCCGGCCGGCTGCCGCACGCCGCGCCCCGTCCCGGCGAGCCCGGCGGCCTCGCAGCACCGCTGGCCGGGCGCTCACTCCCCGAGACCAGCACTTCGGGGCGCCTCCGGCCCGCCCCGCCCCCCGCCTTCCCACGGTCAAGTACGGCGCGCAGACAAAAACCCACCCGATTAAAGTTGCTTCGGACGTGCAGACGGTCCCTCTTTATTGGGGGGGCACCCACGCGCCCGCTGCCTCTCCGGACGGCCTGCCGGCACCCTTCCTGCGCCTCCCCTCGCACAAGGGCCAGGGAGGCCGAGTGCGGCTCCCATCCCTCCTTCACCCGCCAGGATGCTCCACAGCACCGCTGAGCTGAGCGCGGACGGCTCAGACGCCGCAGGCCCCGTGCACAGAGACGTGAGGAGGCTGCCTGGCTGCTCCCGGGACCGGAAGGGCCCCCTGCCTGCTCCGGGGGCCCGTGCCTGAGAGAGCCCCGGCAGAGGTGGGGAGGGCCTTCCGCCCCGGCACCCCGCTCCTTCTCGCCTCCTGTCATCGCCCCAGGCTCGGGGAGGGTCCGGAGGGGTGCGGGGGGAGCCAAGATGCCTGCCGTGGGCAGGGGGGGGATGTGGCCGGCAGGCTGCCACAGCCCACGCATGGGCCCAGGGCTGGCGCGGATGCCCACTCCGGTTTCAGAGCGGCCAGTCCCGAGGGCGCGGGGCCTGGGGCCCATCCTCCGGCGGGGGGGTTTGCTCCCCAGGGGCGCCGGGGCTCTGGCGCTCGCTCTTGCGGAGGACGGCCGTGCTCAGTTCCTGCACGAGCTTGCTGCTGACGGGCCGCTCTGCCTGGAGGCTTCTCTTCCTGGAGTCCTGCACCGGACGCTCTGTCCCAGGGGGCCGCTCTGCAGGGTCCGTGGGTGTCGCAGGAGGCGGGTGCCATGCCTGGCTGGGGCCGGGCTGAGTCGGTCTCTCCGGGGAGGCGCGTGAGGCCACCCCCTGCCCCGAAGGGCTGCCTGCGGAGGCATGCTCTGGGTGGCAGGCTCTCATGGGGCCGGCTCCAGGCGGCCGGGGGGCTGGGCAGGGCGGCGGGGGGCTGGGGGGGCCCTGCTCCGGGAGAGGGGTGGGCTTCTTGGCCCGGTCCACAGGAGGCAGCAGGGAGGGGCCGAGCTCTGGAAGATCCATGTCCGAGAAGCCGCCGACCTCCTCGTAGACGGGCTCCGACTCGGTGGCCTCCTGCTGCTCCCCCACGGCGTCCTGAGGCGCCTTGGTGGGCTGCGGGGCAAGAGGACAGGTGTCGGTGGGGCAGGGCCTGCAGCCGCCCTCCGGCGCTCCCCGGGGCAGCTGCCCTCGAGGACCGCTGGCTGTGCCCGCTCCGGGCGCGGGAGGCCATCTGCCCTACCCGGCCTTCCCGCTTCCAAGCAGCCGCCCAGCCCCGGGCTCCGCCTGCAAGCTGGGGCGGCTCCTGCGGGAGGGCGGGCGTGGGGGTGCTGCCGCCCTCTCCTGCTCCACCGCACCAGACAGCCTGCCTCCCCCAAGCGGGGGTGGCTTCATGGGCCGTGCCGTGGCTGCTCCACAAGCCGGACTGCAGGGCCACGCGGTTCGTGGGAAACTGGCAGAGCGTAGCCCGGCACGATCCGGCAGCCACCCCGCGAAGGCTCCCAGGGCGGCCCCTGCTCGGGATCCCTCTGCGCACGGGGGGGGGGGGTCTGAGCGGGACCAGCCGGGCCGTGCATGCAGAGCTACTCACAAAGAACATGGACAGCGTTCTCCGCGTGTGCAGGCGGCGCTGGAAGCAAGAGGGGAGAGGCAGGCAGGTGAGGCCCAAGGTGACGGCCGGCCGGGGGCTCAGAGCGGGTGCAGAGGGCTCCCCCCGCGCAGCCCCTGCCCGTTCCCGGGGGCCGAGGCACTCTCCTTGCGCGAGGCTCTCCTGGGGCCCTTGCCGACCCGCCGCGGAAGCCCTCGTAGCGCGGAAGGCTCCCGTGTGAGCAAGGCCCTGCCTGCGCAGCGAGAGCGCAGGGGAGGGCCGCTTCCGGGCCTGGGGCGCCTTAGGAGCAGCGTCCTCTGGAAGCGAGTGAGGGTCCCCGGTGCCGACACGCCAGGAGCCGCGCGAGTGCAGCCCCGCGTACGTGGCACCCTGGCGCGTCCGGCACAGGAAGGCGCCTGCTGCAGCTGTGCGCTCGGCCATCTGCTCCTCTCCCGGGAGAGGAGGCACCGGGGGGGTGGGGGGCGGGGGCAACCTTACCAAGGTCTGGTTGGCAGAGAGCATGATGGGGTCGGTGCCGTCCCCGCGGAGCGGGATGAGGGGCATGGTGCCGAACTTCTGCCTGGCCAGGTCGGACGAGGAGCGCCGGCGCAGGATGATGGGGCGGAGGCCGTCATGCTGCGGGAGGGAGGGGACCGTGTCTCTCGGACCGCCGCTCACAGCCTGACGTGCGTGGCAGCTCCCCCCGCCCGGCCCGGGCGTATGCCCCGTCCCGCCTGCCCCCACAGCAGGGCCGTGCAAAAGCCACCCGGCAACGCCCCGGCTGAGCCCTTTGACCCCAAACTCGTTCCCCCATGACTGCCACTGTGCCTCAGGCCAGGGGCCCAGCTGCAAGATGCCAGCGATGGGCGCGGGCCGGCAAGGCCGTGCGGGGGGGCGGGGCGCGTGCAGAGCTGGCTTTTTCCGAGCGAGTCCGAAACGATCTCTGCGTGAGCAAGCCGCCGCCGGGCAACGCGCACACACAGCAAGTCCAGGACCTCTGTGGCGGGCCGGATCCAGCCCGTGGGCCCTAGTCTGAGGACCCATGCTTTAGGCTCTCAAACTCGGGGAACCTCCCCCCCCAATTAAATCTGATTATCAACGGAACAGTTTTAACAGCAGAATTCAGTCCTAGAGACTGTCTGATTGGCTCGCTTAATGTGCAATTCTAGACTTTGGGTCTTTGCTTTAGCCTAGGTTAAACCCTAGCCTAGCCTAGACCTAGGCTAAATAGACCAAGTTTAATATTTGGAGGAAACTAGCATTGCTTAGCCGAGCCATTAGCATTCAAGTAGAGCTGAAGAAGTCAAAAGGAAGCGGGTCCCTTGGAACACAAGCCAAGGGCCGGTGAGGCTGGGGCAGGATCCTGGTTCCACACACTGTGCCGGAGGTTTGGCTCCCTGCCTCACAACAGCTGCAGCACCAGCTTTGTCGACTGCAGTCCCTCCCGCTCAGCGGGTCTTGCACGACCCTCCACTGCCCACAATGTGGCAACTAGATTATGGGGCATCTAGATGATGCTCCTAGAACTGCCACACGGAGCGAATGATCTCCGCAGAGAAAGCATCTGCTGCGCCGGCTGCCTGGGCCTGGCCTGCTGAGCCACCAGGTGCCTTGGACCGTCTGACGCCACCCCCGACGCCTGTTGAGGGATGAGGGGCCTTCCCTCCCACGGCCCTCAAAAGCAGGATCGTTTTGGTCCCTTTGGGGAGAGCAGGTACAGTTCTCGGGGGAGGCTCAGGAGTAGCTCAGCTTTGCCCAAGGGTGGTCCGTGGCTGGCAGAACTCCCACAAAAGATCCCGCAAAGATTGTGTGTTCCTGCCACAAGAGACACCGTTGCCAGATGTGAGTCCATACAGTCCAGAAGGAAGAACCGTGGTGGGACTAGCAAGTTTTCTCACACAGCTGGAAAGCAGCCAAGCACTCCCAGTTTTGGACGGAAAAGGGCACCGCCCGCGGCTGCGGATGAGCTAAAGCTACGCACCTGGGCCTTCAGGATGCTGGTGGTCCAGTCCCACAGCTCAGCCTGCCCCGAGCACGCCAAGTACCTGCAGGGCAGACGCCGCCAGTTAGTGCCCTCACGCTGGCCGGCCTCTCTGCCTCTGCTCTGACCAGAGGCAGCGCAACGGTCCTGGCGACACCAGGAAGTCGGGAGTCTCTCCGAGGAAAGGGAGGGCGCCACGAAGAGCTAGCCCCATAAGCAGGTCACGAGGTGGATGCCCCCCCCCATCTGCCTCCAGGATCTCGGGAATAAATGGCCATGGAACACGCAGCTCCGTTTATTTTTAAAACAAGCTTTGCACTACCAGTCCAAAGCTATTCCGTCCTTGTCGCTTTGATATTCTGTAGTGAGGAAGGTGATGGAAGAAAGGGCGGGAAAGCATGGGAGCGTGGCACATGGTGGAGGACGCCCGGATGCCCATGAAATGCTGCGAAAGCCTCACCTGGGGCATCTCATGGCCCCGGAGGGCCCCACCTGGGGTCCTCCTCGAAGGAGGCTCCGAAGGGAGGCAGGGAATTGCACTCCCTCACCCTGCCTGGGGATGATGGTTCCGCACTGGCTGTGCAGTGCGGCCCGCTCCTGGGGGGCCTGCTGGGCAGGGGGCCTCGGAGAAGCAGGCCCTGGGCACCAGCACAGCCAGGCCGAGCCGCAAAGCAGGCGTCCCCGAGGGGCATGGGGGGCCTTCATCCCTGCACCACAGGCGGCCTGCTTGGGGCAGGTCCTCCCGTCCCTTGGGCCTTCAAGGGACACGCTGGAAGGGAGGCCGATGCGCCTCTCCCTCCCTACACCCACCCATGAGGCGGAACGGAAAAGATACTCACAGCTGCTGTTTCTCCAGGCACAGAGTAAAGCCCCACCTGCAGCAGGGAGAAGTGCAGAGGAAGACAAGCATTAGAAGCGGGGGTGGGGGGGAGCCCGGAGGTCAGCTGGACGCGGCCGCAGCAACTCCGACCAACCGAAGGAAGGGGCGAGGTCTCGCTGGACGGAGGGGGGCTCCAGCCAGAGGCTGCAGGGCAACAGGGAAAGGCCACTGCGTGCAGGCCCTTTCCTTTTTAACAGTGCGGTACTTTTCTGGCAAGAAAATTAGAAGCAGCGGTGGAAATACATGGGGAAGCCGCACAGGTGAAGCACTGTTCCCTGGACCCATGAAAAATTCCACGAAAGCCAGCCAGAGACCTCTGCTTTCTCCTTTAATATTAGATCCGGGCTGGAAACTCCTGGCCAGCACTAGCAATGAGGACAGTAGAGGTCACTGACTTATGCAGGACGGCTTCGAATTCTTCAAAAGTCCTGGCACCGAGGCAGCGGTGTGCGAAGCTGTGCCGGGCTGCCTGTGAAACTGGCGGACATCTGGGCTGGCGACGCCGGCGCCCCCGTGCGCTAGCGGAGCGGCAAGCGGGACAGTGCCCGGATGGCCCGGGGTTGTCCTGGTGATTCAGTCCAGTCTGCGTGAGTGGATTAAGCGGGCAGCAGCCCGGGTGCTCTCCGGGAGCTTCAGGGCCACTGGCAGCCCAGTTCAAAGGCTCTGCAAACTGGGAGCTGGGACTCCGGGTCGAGGCCCGTCCTCTCCATCCCGCCCGTACGTGCGGAAAGGCCATTTCCCGGCGTGTGCGCTGCACAAGGATTCACGGCTGTGGGTGTGTCTCCGTGCCCATTGTGGCCGAGGGAAATTCCACGGGGGAGGCAGCGCTCTGCTCAGCGTCTCACCGGGAAGTGTGCAGAAATGCTCGGAGCCTTCCGGACCTGGTGCCCCCCCTTGGGACCCCAACGTGCTGCCCGGGGAGGACGTCCGTGGTGTGAGGCAGAGCCAGCCTCGCTCGCAGGGGAGGCACCTTTTGTTTCAGGTACACCGCGAATGCTCGGGGCTCGTGGCCTGCCATCGCCGCCATGCGGGTCTGATTTCAAAGGTGCTGAGTCCCCCCGGGCCTCCAGCCACAGGGCAAGGCCTGCGGGTGGCTGGGCCGAGGTGTGGCAGCTGCCACACTGAGTCGGGGGGGTGGGGTGGGGGGGTCCCGCAGCCACTTACTGGGAAGGTGGCTTCAGCTTTTTCCGGATCCCCATGTAAACTTTGGCCATGTCCAGCGGCCACTCACGCTCTGGCTTGGCACTCTGCACACGGAAAAGAGCAAGGTCAGCCCTGGTTCCAAGGCAGAAGATGTGACTGGCATTGCCAAAGAGCTCCAGCCTTTGGTCACGGTGGCCCCCCCGCCCCCCCCTCAGGCCAGCGGGGCTCTTCCTAGCGCAGTGCCCCCTCCTGGGGGGGCGAGAAGCTGGCACGAGGCACGGTTCAAACGCTCGTGGTGCCATGGGGCTCTCCAGCCCCCGGCTCGCAGCCTGGCCTACCTCACAGGGCGGCTGTGAGGATACAATGGGGAGGATTGGGAAGGGCATCACAGCTTCTTGGGGGAAAGCGCAGTATAAATGAAACGAGGAAAACGGACCGCTTTGAAACTACTTTCTCGCAACCTCCTGCCGCTCCCCGTCGCTTCTGGTCACGCTGGGTTGCTCCCGCTGCTCATCTCTCGAGACTGATTTGGCGCAAACTTGTTTTAATGCACTCTGCGCACTGCCTCAGGCTGGGCCTTCTAAGGGGCAAGGGAGGAGTGGAAAGAGCCCGCAAGCGGCCCGGCTGGGGGACTGTACCCGTTTCTCCTTGAGCAGCAGCAGCTTGTGGTCCTTGATCACAAAGTAGCGCTCCTGGAACTTGCTGCCCAGGAGCCGGGGGGGGTCCTCGCGACACCTCAGCAGCCCGCACTTGGGGCTCTCCCGCTTCGCCCCTGCAAGGAACGGGGCACGGCTGAGCGCTGCGGCGGGGCAGGCGAGCCTCGGCGCCGGCTGCCAGGGCCTGTGGCGCCCGGAGCCGCGAGCATCGGCGTGGACCGGCGCCCGTGCGCGGCCGCCTCCTCGGCGGAGCCCCCTTCTCTGGCCGGGGCCCCGGCCGCGGTGCCCGGGCTAGGTGGGCAGCGGCGCCCGGGCGGGCCAACTCACCGGTGAACAGGCAGCTCGCGTCCTGGATGGGCACCCTCCTCACGAGCAGGTAGGCCGAGCCGGGCTGGGGCAGCTTGCACCACTGCAGGGCCTGCTCCAGCACCTTCTCCTTGGGGTGGAGGGGGCGCTCTGGAAAGGGGAGGGGGCGCCGTCAGGGCCGGGCGCGCCGGCTGCACGTGGGGCAGGGAGCCAGGAAAGCAGCACCGCCGGGGGGCCGGGGGCTCTGTGGTTCGGGCGGGGGAAAGAGGCATGGGGCGTGGGCACGGCGGCACGCTGCAGCCGGGCTGCCTTGCCCGCCGGGCGGCATCTCGCCCAAACCCTTCCGAACGACGCTGCCCTGCCGGGACAGGGGCCCTCCGGCTCTTCCCAAAGTCCTCCCGTGACAGGAAGCCAGCCTTCCTTGTGGGCACGCCGGGCCACTGCTGCTTGGAAGCGCGTGCAAACGCAGGCGCCAGCTCCAAAACGCGGCTCGCGCGCCCCTCTCAGCCGACACCTGGCCAGGCACGCCCCCGCTCACCGAGCTCGCCGTTTTCCAAGACCTCGAACGTCATCCACATCTCGAGACTGGCCGCCACGCCGCGCATCTCCAGCACCCGGTTCGCCAGCTCCTCTGCCCGCAGGACGGGCGACACCTGCAGGGAGCGGCTGGTCAGGCCTCTGGCGCCCCCGCGCAGGCAAGGGGCAGGCCGTGGCACCAGGACGCCAGGAGGGGCGGCTCCCGACCCCGCGGCCCATTGGCAGCGCTCGGCCGGCACTCACCTTGAGGGTGACGCAGGAGTCGGGGGTCTTCCGCTCCAGGTACACCTCCAGGATGATGTCGCCCGCCTGCGAGAGCTGTCGGGGAGAAGGCGAGGAGCAGCTGGTGGGAAGGGCGCCCCCACAACCAGCAGCTGTGGCGCGCGCTCTTCCCGGCCGTCCCAGCCCCGCCCCAGTCGGCATCCGGAGAACCAGGAGGGGGTCCGGAGGGCACTTCCCCTCCGGCAACTGCAGCGTCAAGCCCCGACTCTCCCCGCCTGGGTTTGGCCCCACCACGTCGCCGTTCCGGGGAATCCAAGGCAGCTGCAGTGGTCGCCCCGTGCGGATCCTCGCGGCAAGAGCCGTGTGAGGCGGGTTGGGGTGGCCCAAGCACCCGGGGAGTTTCGCGGCACAAGTGGGGCCCTCCCAGCGCCCCAGCCTAGCCTACACCCCTCCCCGGCTCGCACCACGGGTGGCGTAGAGGCCAGGGCGACCCCCTCCCCTGCCGCCTACTCACGAGCGAGCGGGGCTCCCCACACGGCTTGCAAGCCGCCCTCGCCCAGCCACCCGATCCCAAGCCCGTGAAGGCCGTCTCTGCAGCTGCTGCCAGGTGGGCTGCCAGCCAGGGGGCTGAGCGGACAGGGCAGGGGAGCCGGGTTCCCACCTGCACGTCCCTCCAGGTGGTGATCAGGCTGTTCTCCAGGTCCATCTGCGACACCTGGTCCTCGTCGATCTGCCGGGCGGGGGAGAGATGGCGAGAGCGCAGGTGAGGCGGGGGCCTCGTGGGGCAGCGGGGGGGGGGGGGCAGGCGGGGCGGGACTCACGTTGAAGATGTGGACGTAGCTGTCGATCAGGTCCTCCATCACCCGGACCTCGTGCTCCCCCTTCCCGTCTGTCTGGAAGAGGCTGGGCGCGAACAGCAGGGCCAGGTTCTTGGTGTTCATCTGGTTGAGGCCGGCGCATTTCTGCACGCTGCCACGGGAAGCGACAGCGCCCGTGAGCGGCAGTGACGCGAGGCGGCGCTCCAGGCCATCCCTGCCCCGCAAGCCGCCTCTGCCCGGCCTCCCCTCGGTGCAGGCGCGCCCCCTCTGCCGCGACACACGGATCCGATCGGGAAGCCGCGTGCCGGATCTCCCTCAGCACCCAGGGGCATCCTCTGCCTCCCCCAGCATCTTCCTTGTGCGTTGCAGAAAAGCATGGAAGCAAACGCATTTTTCCACTTCCAGCCTGTGGCTCTGATGGGACTATTGCTCAAAATCACAACAGGAGAACCTGACGCAAATATATCTTTTCAGTCCACACGCGGGGCTTGCTTGGCAAGGCTGTTTCCAGACCCAGCTGCTTCCTGCCTCATTTGTGCCACTTTGCGGGGGTCCAGATGGCACCACCCCACCTTCTCCTGCTCTTCCCCTGCTACAAAGGGAAAGGGGGGTGGCAGCGCCGCCTCCCCACAGGAGTGCCCTCTGCCCAGGAGCGCCCTGTGGGGAGTGTTCGTGCCGCACCCCCTCCGTGCGGGGGCTGACGGAGCGCCGCTCGGTGCGCTTAGGGCTGGGAGCAACCGCCTGGAATCCGCCCGTCCAGTTCGCAGTCTGCGGACTTGCTCCTCGCTCGGCCCAGTCCTGCAAAGCGAGCCGAACCCAAAGCGAGCCTCGGGGCCCGTGGCCCCCGCTGCCCCACCGGCACCCTGCCTCGTCAGGTGCAGCCGCCCAAACCGCAGCGGCAGCGTATGGAAGAGGGTGCCAAGAGCGGCCCGGTGCGGTTGGTGGAGGCGGCGCCCGGTGAGGAAGAGCACGTCGCTTGTGCAGTGTGTGGGCCCCGATTCCTGGAGGGAGCCCACAAATGCTGGGGGTGCCCCCCAGGCTGCCGGACTTGGACTGCTGCAAAGCAGCCTGGATTCCGGGGAGCCGAGCCCGGGGAATCAGAGGGTTCATGCCACCGGACAGACTTCAGGTGCGCACCGGCCCTCGGAATGAAGGCTTAAGGCAGCTGGAAGGCGATGGGGTGGGGGGTTAATCCTGCCCCTCCTGTGGAAGTTCCCCAATTCATCAGCCAGTGCTACCAGCAGCAGCTGGGCGAGAGGAAAGGGAGAGTCCAGACTGTAGCTTCCTCTTTGTGTCCAGGGCCACTGCCTGCCCAAAAGAGAAACGACAGACCCCGGGGGCGGGGGGAGCTTGTCCCCCACTCTCAGAGCCACAGCCCTGCTGCTTGTGCATCCGAAAGTGGCCTTTGGATATCCACCTGCGTAATTCCCCCAGGTCACCCCAGAGGAAGCACCACTGCCAGTTACGGCCTCTTTCTGTTAATAATCGGTGCTCGTTCTTTCCGTTTCCTATTGGTCCCTCCCGCAGGTTTTCTTGCAGAATCCGAACAGACTCCTCCTCATCTCTACTGCATTGCTGAAACACGCTCTTCAGAGCATTCTTTGGTATTCTGCATTCCGTTGTGGACCATGCATATCAGACCATTAATTACATTAAATTAAGTTCAGGCCTGGTCAAAATGAAGCCAATTAAAGGCGCGGCGCCCGTGCCACAGCGGCGAGGGAGGCGGAGGAGAGACGAACCGGTACAGGTGGCCGATCAGGGCCGCCAGGGTCCTGCGGTTGAGGTGGGGCAGGAGGCCGAGCAGCTCCCTGTAGCACTCCAGTCTCTGGGCCTTTGGCACGATCTCTGGAAAGAAACGCAGGGTGACACCTGGCAGCGTGCTGGGCTCAAGCCAACAGTGCCATGGAGCCGCTTTCTCTGGAGCTTGCCAGCGTGCCGCTTCGGGCGGGCTCTGGCCCCGTGAGCCACAGTTGTGCAAACGGGACCGAGCCGGGTGCAAGCGCGGGCGGAAAGGCCTTGGCGTGCCTGGCAGGACTGGCCTCCTGGGCGCCTCTCCGGGGCACAGCTGGGAAGCGCTTGCGGGGCCGCCAGTCCCTCCTTGCAGACGGGCATCCCAAGGCGGGCCTGAGGGACTCCGCTCCGTCCCTTTGCCTTTAGCCCGCTGATTTCTGCGCCGCATGTTGAAACGCCTACACAAAACCACTGGGAGAGGCCGAGCGGCTGAACCGGAGCTTGGAAATGGGAGAGACTGGATGGGGGTGACAAACCGATGCTGAATTCAGATAAGGCCGAGGCAGGGGCACCTACTGGTCACAGCTAGGCGGCCAGCCTGTTCCCTGTGGCGCTGCACCCCCCTTGAGAGAGCAGCTTTCTTCCCGTCCTGCTGCCAAGCGCATCTCGCAATCGGGAAGTGCTTTCCTCAGGAAAGCGAAGCCAAACGCGAGCATTTGGTTCACGGGACGCTGCTCCGGAAGCCAAGCCCTGGGACGAGCAGAGCGGCCCCTGCTGTGGGGGCGAAGAGAGGCCCGGGGGCTGGCCCGGGCGTGATGGGCAGCAGGGCCGGCCCCATACCGGCCGCCTCTTTCCACCGGGGGTGCAGGTAGGTGGTGAAGACGGGGTCCTCCAGCTCCCGGAAGAAGCGCTTCAGCACGTCGGTCACGTCCTCCACGAAGTGGTCGCTGATGCGCAGCTTGACGTTCCGGGCGTCTCGGCGGAACTCGTCCATCAGCTCCTTGATCCGAGACTTGGCCCCGTTCTTGCGATAGATGCCCTCGTGCTGCAGCCCTGGGGGAGGAGAGCGGGGGGGGGGGGGCAAGGCCGGCCGGTGAAGGAACGGCGCTCGGCAGGTTTCGGCGGCTCGCCCAGCGCCTCAGCCGAGACCGTGCCAAGGCAGGCCAGGCGGGCCGGCCGTCGCGTCTCCAGCACCCACAGCTGCGGGCCGGGAGTCCAAGCGAGGCCGCCGCTTTGGAGGCCTCCCCAGGCTTCCCTTCCTCACTTAACTTGTACTCAACCCCCGAGGGACGGGCGCGGAACGGAACGAGCCCTTGCTTCTTCCCTGTTTCCAAAGGCAAGACCCAGCCCGGAGAAACGCCACGACTGGTTTGGACGACCTGCCCGACCGACAGTGGCGAAAAGCCTCCGCGGCTCGTCCCGCCTGCACGCAGCCTCCACCGGGCAGACCGCGGCTTCCTGCCGGTTCCCTGTGGCTCACCGCAGGGACGCGTGCACCCACCCGCTCGGCGTGTGTGCGCGCGCATCCTTCCTTCGCTGCTCAGCCGTGATCTGTGCGACCGGCCGCGGCAGCGCATCGTGTTCGGTGAGGATCTGCGTCGGCAAGGAGCGGCTGCGGGGTTTTGCGAGGCTCCTGATGCTGACCCCACACGCTGCCCCTCACACCTTCTCCCCATGGCTGAGTCACCGCAGCTCTTGGACGGGCCCTCAGTCGGTCAGATACGGCTCCGTGCGCAGTTGGGCAGGCTGAAGCCCACGGCACACGGAGGAACTCCTGCTCAGGCAATGGGGCTTCTCCTCCACCCGCTCTCTCCGTTCCGCCCAGGCCCCTTCCGGATCTGCTGCTCCAGGAGGTCCTGGACCCCCCGAAGCATGGATAGCCTGCAGGAGGGAGGGGGGATGCGTCCCGCCAGCACTTTCTGCCCCACGGGCAGGCACTCCAGGCTGGACATGATCCGGGGCTGCCTCTTGGGGCCTGCGCCCTTTTCCTCGCGTGGAAAGCAAAGGCTGCTGCACCGAGAGACGGTCACCGGAAACTGGCAAGCTTGGATCCCACCAGCCGGAAGCAGGGCCCTCGGAGACGCACCGTGCTGAGTGATGAAGGCGACACAGCTGTTCACCAGGATGGGGATGCCGCTCCGGCTGAGCTGCTGGTCACGCAGGGCGTTCCCCTGCCCACCTGCCGAGGCCCGGATGGCCGCGCACCACGAGGAGAAGTCCAGCCGGCAGGCGCCTCGGAGGCAGAAGGTCCTGGAGGCGGGGAAGGGCGAGTGAGCGGGCGCTCCGGCCCCTTCCCTGCTGGGGTCATCAGCCGGCTCGAGCGCTCTGGCCTCCGGCCGGCCGTGGTGCTGCTGCTTCCGACCCCGGATCCCCCTCTGCACCGCCAGGTATCCAGAATGACGCCAGGACCGGGCACGGGGCACTGCCTGCCGAGGGGTCGTGGTGGGGGCTGCCCGCCGCCCCGCCTCCTCACCCACCCGGCCTTGCCTCTCCCACGTGAGCCCCCCGTGTCCGGGCGTGGCAGGTGCCCCAAAGCCCTCTGCTCTGGCCCCAGAGGCATCCCATCCCCCAACCACTCCCCACGCGGGCCTCACCGCCCCATCTCCACCAGGACCAGCATGTCCCTCTTCTCCGGGCCTTCCGCGAGTGGGACGACACCTGCAGGGGGGCAGCGGAAGGAGGGATCAGCGAGGGGCGTGCGAGCCAAGCCCGCCTGGGCTCCCGTGGCTGTACGAAGAGCGGCGGCCAGCATGGGCCTCCCCGCACAGACCCCCCCCCCCGGACTCACTGAGCTCCTGCAGCTGCCGCAGGTTGATGCTGTCCTCGGCCGCCCCCTCCTCTCCCGGGCAGATGAAGAGGTGCGCCTTCTGCAGCAGGAAGTAGCCCTCCAGCCACCGGTCCGGATTCAGCAGAGACTTGTAGTGGAGCCGTCCCACCTTCTGGAACTCGTAGCCCAGCAGGCAGTGGCAGCTGAGCGGGGTGAGCCACTGCAGGGGAGGCAGGGGTCAGGTCCAGGGGCGCGTGCGGACGGGACGGGGCCTGCAGGAGCGCGGGGGGGCCACCAGGCTGGGCCTCTCCTGAAGCCCCACGGTGCTCCCACAGGCGGGAGGCGGGCACAAGCGGGGCCTCCACCTGCCCGGCCAAGAGGAGCAGGTGCGCGCAGAGGCGGTGGGTCGGGGGCTGCCCTTACCTTGCCGAGGGCGCTGGCCCATGCCTGCAGGCTGTCTGGCCCGTCGGCCCCCAGCTGCTGGATGCGCTCGCCGCCCAGGAACAGCTCCAGCGTGAAGCGGAACCTGCCGGCGGCACCGGGTGTCAGAGGAGGGGTGGCCCCCCGGGACGTTCCCCCCAGCCCCCGACCCAGCCCTCAGCGCCCTCGGCCGGCCAGAGGACTGCTCCGACGGAGCGGGCACCGCGTTCCCACCGGGGGCCCGTCGGTCGGCCGGGCACGGCGGCACCGGCACAACGCCTGGTGCGGACCGCCCCGGCATCGGTGGCAGCCACACGCCGAGGGCACACGTGCCACGGAGGCCTGCCACGGGAGGCGGGGGCACGGCGGGCGCCTCGGGACACCATGCGGGGGCTCTCCTTGCTCAGGGCAGGCGGGTCCCGCTGGCACGCGATGTGGCACCCGCTGGCCAGCCCCTCCCTCTGGCCGGGCGCAGGGGGGCGGCCCGAGTGACGGGAGAGCCGGGCACCCCTTGGCACACACCTGTCGGAGGGGGCCGGGCCGGCCGGCGCCTCCGCCCTGCTCACGCCCAGCGAGACCACCTCGGACGCGTCGATCCTGGCCAGCGGCTCCGGGCCCCGATCCGCCTCGTAGAAGAGGAGTGACTTCTCCAGGGAGCACCAGACACGCTGCCACTCTGCGGGGCGAGACCGCTGTCAGCCCTGACCCCAGCCCGCCCCCCGCCCCTCTCGTACCTACCCTCCCGGCTCTTCCTCGGGGTGGGGGCCTTCACCACCACTGGTGCCCGGTGCAGGTAGCCGCAGCTGGAGACGGGCTGCACGATCTCGTTGTAGACGCTTTCCAGCCCCGCTGCCTCCTCGCCGAGGCCGCCTGTCGAACAGACAAAACCCGCGTTCCTTGTTTCTGTCTACAAAAGTTTCCCGGAACGAGGCAGCTAAAAATGCAAATGTCCCGTTCCGTGGGATTAACACAAATTCAGCAGCTGTCGAAACGGGCCCTGTTCTACTTAACACGCAGCCACTGCCAGCAGAAAAGGCATTTAATTTTACATCTCCTTCATCCGAAAATGGATTGTGCAGCCCTACAGTCTGCTCTGAACTTCCAAGTAGCGAGTTCTGGCTGCAGGGAAAGAAAGTCCATGCGTGGAGTGGAAGGGGGGGCAGGTGGTGTGGCCAAGGAAAGAAATCACCCCGCTCTTACCCTTTGCTCGCTTGCATTTTCTTTCTCGCAGGTGCGTGTGGGTGCACTGGCAGAGGGTGCGGTTACCTGTGTCGTTCCCCGGCGGGCCGTCCCCGTCCCCGTCCCCGTGGGTGCACCAGGGCCTGGTCTTCGGAGGGCCACGGCCATCGCCTGCCTCCTCGTCCAGCGGGACTGCGAAGAACTGCAGCGTGGCCCTCAGCAGGCTGGGCCCGGACACGGCCGCATTCAGGGCCTGCGGGGAGAGGAGAGGAGAGGAGAGGAGAGGAGAGGAGAGGAGAGGAGAGGAGAGGGCCCTTGCGAACGGCTGCCGAAAGGGTGCTCCAGAGCTCCCGGCCGGGACGGAACGCGGAAAGGCCCCCCATCCCTGGGCAGAGCCATGGGCCCTCGCTCCCCCGGCCGCTCCAAACACGGCTGTGCACAAGGGCTTACCTGCAGGAGCGACTCCTGGCTGCTGTGCTGCGGGTGAGGCAGGCGGAAGCACCCATGGCGGTACTTGTTGGTGATGAACTCCCGCCGCTGCTCGGCCGTCGCGTCAGGATGCAGTGCCTCGGAGGGTGGGAGCCGCGCGGCCCAGAACCGGTTCGCACGCTCGTTCCCCAGCACGATGAAGAGCTTCAGAGACAGGGCAGAGTGGCAGCGCGCAGCTCCAGGTGCTCCTCCTGCAGGGCACCCAGCCGGGGGCCCGTGGCCTCGGGTTGGGGGAAGGCCTCGTACCTACCTGCACCATTTCGTTGCTCCAGATGCTTGTGTCCAGTTTCAGGCTCTGCACCTTGGAGACGCTGGTGCCCAGGCCGCGGTGCTGGCCTGTGGGTGCAGGGGCTGTAAGTGGGGCGGCCGTGCCACCTCCGCAGCTGCCACGGAGCCCAGCCCACGCAGGGCGGCTCGCTCGGGCCGCACGGAAATGCGCACGTCCTGGACGGAGCCTGGGCACAGACGGCCGGCCGGCCGGGGCTCGCGTCCCAGGAGCAGCTCCCGTACAGGCATGGCCTGTGGGGGCAGAGGCAGGAGGAGGGGGCGGCCGCCCGCTTCGCCCCCACGGTGAGGCCCCCCGCGTCCCTTCCCCACGCCCGGCCCGGCGCCTGGCACTTGCCTGCGCACTGCCTGCAGATCACCACGCACAGGCTGACGGAGGCCCAGTCCGGGCTCAGGGCACCGCAGTCGGCGCAGAACCGGTTGGCCTTGTTGGACCAGACCTTCTCGGCCACCTCGTAGTCATACAGTGTCTCCGCGATGGCGTCCTGCAGGACCTCCATCCACTCCCGCTTCTCTCGCTCCGACTCGGCCCCGAAACTGCGAGGACACGTTCCCGGGCACGCCGTGGGTCGCGGGGACAGCCAGGATGCTGCACGCACGCCTCCCCTCTCTGCCCCACCTCGGGAGCTGCTGGCCCCCCAAGCAGTGAAGCAGGGCCCCGGGGCACCCCTCCCTCGGAGCAGCCGCGCCCTCGTGCCCCCCAGCTGCCCTGCCCCTCCCGGGTGTCCCTCCCGTGCCAACCAGGCGCTTGCCCAGAGGCCTTCCTTCCCCGGCGGGGCAGCAACTCCTGCACTTCAGGAGACCCACGGGGGGGGGGGCTGTTCTGCTGCTCCCCTCTTCCCAGGTATCCTCCCCTGCAGGAAAAGGGCGCTGTGGGAGCATCTCCCACCTCCAGAGCAAAGCAGGCTCCTCATGCCCCGGGGAGCAGGCTGGGGGCTGCAACTGCCGACTTCGCCCCACCTCTGGCGGTGCAGAGGCCCGGAGGCCCATCCCTGCCTGGGGAGGCAGCGTCTGCCTCCCTGGAACCAGGAGGCCGGCTTCGCTTCCTGAGCCGGCGGGCAGCAGGGCCGCGCCGGGAGGGCCTGTGCAGAGCCGCAGGGGGGCTACCTGAACATCTTCAAGGGGGTGATGAGCTCGAAGCTGCGGCCCTTGGCTTCCCGGACGGTGGAGCCATGCATCTGAATCAGGCAGATGGCAATGCCCATCTTAAAAGCCTGCGGGTGGAAGATGGGACAGGGGTCACCAGGTCTTGCCTTGCAGCCAGAACGGCGCCCCAGTTGGAGCAGCGACCCTGCCCCCGCGTGCCCTGGGTGGGGAAGGGCCGCTCCCCCTCCCAGCAAGGCTCCGAGGGCCTTTTAATGGAACATCAACCCTGCGCTGCTCCTTCTCGCTTCCACGCAAAGCTGCGGCGCAAGGAGGCGACGGCGGCGCAAGCCAAGCAGAAAGGGCCCGGAGGTCTGCGGTTCGCCCTTGGCACCCCGAAATCGTGCCCAGCGGCAGCCGCATGGCTCCGGAGAGGCCCCGGAGGCGACGCTGGGAGCGCTCCCCACGCCGACAGCCCCGCCCTCACCTGCTCGCTCTTGTACAGCCACATCTCTGCCAGGGAGAGCACCGCAAACAGCCTGGATTTGTAGCCCTTGAGCTCCAGGAAGCCGGACTTCTGGAAGTGGGCACTGCTGCTGGCCCCGGGCCAGGGGCAACGCAGCTGCTGCTGCGCCACCGTCTGCTGCAGGGCGCTGCACCAGTCCCTCCGCTGGGCTGCCGGGAGACACCGAAAGGGCCGCGGCCGCGTTGGGAGCCGCTCCCGCTGGCAGCCGGCGGACGCATCCGAGGGACCTTCGTCCCGCACTGCCCTGCCCCAGCCCACACGAGGACTGGAGGGAAGGGGGCCCGGCGCAGCCCCCCGGCATGCGGCCCCGCTCTGGCTTTCCGGCTCCCGGCATCCCGCACGACCAGGAGAGCAAAGCGCCCCACACACGTGGCTCACGGTGGAGACCCCCGGCTGACAGCCCGTTGGATCGGGCCGTCCTCCTCGCTCCCACTTCGGCTCGAGCCTGAGGAACAAATTCCCTTGCACGGCTAAGGAGGGATTTTGCGCATCCAGGGCGTTCTGCAGTTCACGTTCCTGCTTACAGAAGGTGCCCTGAGGGTGGGCAGGGTCGGGGGGGGGTGCCTCACCCTCACTTTCAGCTCGGAAGACAAAGATCCGGTGCCTGGTGACCACCTGGAATTTGTTGTCCTTGGTGGAGCGCACCGCGTCGATGACGGAGAGCGGGACCACGCCCCTGGGATACGGGTCCTACAAGAGCCCCACAGGCAGGGAGCTGAGCCTTCCCTCTGCCCGCCAGGCCCGCTTCCGCACCCTCCTCTGGCCCTCCAAAGGACCCAGAAAGGGGAGCATCGCAAGCACCGGAGACCTTGGGGCCCTGGGGAGAGCCGTGGCGTGCCTCCCCCTCGCACACGCTGCCGCCCTGGCCACGCCAGCTCCCCACGCCGGCCGGGCCGGGCCGGGCCGCCCTCCTTCCCCCAGTTCACCTGGGCCCACCACAGCTTCCCCTCCTTCCTCCTCCTCCGGCACCCCTTGAATGCGCCCTGCCCCACTTCTGCAGTTCTGCCCCCACCTTCTCATGGTGAAAGTACATGAGCTTTTTCCCGTCGAATTTGACGAAGCGCCGCTGGAAGACGTAATTCCTGTTGGAAGGAAAGGAGGCACCGCGTTCACGGCCCATAGGGAATCAGGGAAGCCCCACGACATGGCCGGGAATCTCTCAAGGCCTGACGAATGCCACCTGAGCAGAACATCATCCTTCCGCCTGCCTCGAAAGCCAGCCATGAGAACGCTTCAGCCCCGGCCCAGGGGGCTTCGCGGCTCCCGCTGGAGCAGGGAGCGTCTGCCGCTTGGCCCGGCGCGAGCAAAGGCATCGCTCGACTGAAAGGCTCGGCGGGACTTCATGGAGTCACGCTGGGAACGGCACTGCCTACGTGCGCGACAACCCCCAAGCGCCAGTCTTGCCGGGCACACGCATCTTTCAGGGAGGGGCTGCTTTGGTCAACAACGCTGAGGAGTGGGGACAGTCCGGGGGAAAGAGCCCCGCACCTCGTCCCCCCCCCCAGAGTTGTTTGGTTTGGAAAAACAGCTGCCAATGCCCTGTAAGGAGGAGAAGCGGCTGCCTCCCTGCGCCACAATCCCACGGGTGTCTCTGCCAGCTCCCACAAGCGACTATCTCCTGAGTCGGCAATGGTGTGACTCCCTGGTGGGGGCCTGCAGCATGTCCCGGACACACGAGGAGGGAGGGAGGGAGGGAGGGAGGGAGCACGGCCTGCCCGCCAACGTCCAGGCTGAGGGGAGGCGGCCGCTGGCCTCCACGTGGCCAGAGACTCCCTGGGGGCCCACTCACCGAGACCCCCTGCCGCTGCCCTGGTCCCCTGCCGCCGCCCTGCGTGGAGCCGCTTCTGGGCTCTCAGACGCATCGACTGCACGCGTTGCGTTGGGCCATGACCGGCGCCGCCCCAGGCCGCCCGCCCAGCTGCAGCCCCGGCGGGGCACCTACCCCTGCGGAGAGAGCTTGTCCAGCCAGCCGCTGAGCACCGGGGTCGGCCACTCCGACGGGGAGGCGTAGCTGGCGTAGGGCGAGATGGTCAGGTCGTCCGGCGCTTCGTCGGGGCGTGGGGGGCCTGGCAGGCCAGGCGGGGAGCCGCTGGGCCTGGGAGCCTCCACGGTGGAGTAGCCCTCCGCCTCGTTCTCGGTGGGGCGGCTGGCAAGGGCGGCCCCCCTCGGGGCAGCGGGGCCCTTTCCTTCTGCCCCGGCACCTCTGCTCCTGCAGGGAGGGGTGGCGCACGGCAGCCCAGGTGAGGCCGGGCGGGCTGGCTCCGGCCCCCACAGCCAGGACCAGCCCGCTTCCTGGCCGGGGAGCTATTTTCACCCCCGCTCCTCCCCAGGTGCCCTTCAGAGGGGCAGCAGAGGCACGAGGGAGGCGAGGGGAGCCACAAGCGGCACTGCCACGCTCCCCATTATAGGGGGCGGGGGAGGGGGCAGGTCCCGCGAGCCCCCCGGCCCTACGTCAAGGGAGGGCAGCTGTGCGAGGGCCTTCGCCTCCAGCGGAGCACTGCGCTGCGCCTCCCAGGGACCCATCCGGCTCGCCCGGGAGCCACGTGCCCAGGCGGGCCCTCACTCCAGGCCGCCCCCCGGCCCGTGCTGCCCGAGGCAGAGGCGCCCGGGAGCCACTTACGCGCCCTCTGCTCCCTCCTGGCCCCGGACGAATTCCGGCACCTCTTCGTACTCCTGTCCCTCCAGGGACGCCGCGGCCTGGTGAAGGGGGAGCAGAAGGGTCAGGGGCCGGGGCAGGGGCCGCCCTCTGCGCATGGCCTGGCGCCCCGCTGGAACCTCCCTGGCCAGGCTTAGGGAGGGAGGGGCTGCCGCCTCTGTGCTCTTTCGCATCGTCCTTCCCGTCGTGTGTGAGAGCCCCGCGAATCCAGCCAGCGCTTAGCAAGGGACGAGCCGAACGACGCTGCCGGCCGGCTGCCCCTCGGCCCACGCTACGCTCCTGAGAGGGTCGGCCAGCAGCCCCCGGGCAGAGTGTGTGGGCACCCGCCACCCCAGCGATCGTCCTCCACAGTGTGGCAGGGTGCCCCCGGGACGGGGTCGCCGGTCACTGCCAGCACTTCCCAAACGGCCCCCGCGGCCGCTCGGTTCCTGGGGGCAGCTCCGGAGCCTGGAGCCGTCTCTCGGGCACTGCCCCACGCCTCCCAGAACCTCGTGGCCAATCCAGACACCCCTTCCTCTGGATGGCTGGGATCGCCCTCCATCCCAATCCGCAATCTGCACTTCTTTGTCATGCCTGGGGGGGGGGGCCGGGGCACAAAAGGGGGGGGGGGGGGGGAGGGGGGGGGGGGGGGGGGGCAGGAGGTGCTCACCGGCTCCCGGGCAGACCAGAACCGCCCAAAGACGCTCTCGCAGTAGGGGCTGATGGACTCCTCAGCAGGGCCTGCGGACCAAGAGGAGCGGACCGGCTGTGGGGAGTGGCCGAGGCTGGGGAAAGCCCTCCACCGCCCGCCTGCCCGCCCACGGTGCCTCTCCTCTGAAGAGGCCGGAGGACCCGGACGAGGATCGCTGGACAGGGACGCTTTCCGGTTGGTCCCTTCGGCCTTTTTGGAGGCCCTTTTGATGGGTGGAGCCGGTGCTCTCCGGCTGGACACACTTGCGTGCCTGGGGGCACCCGCACCCCTCAGCGGTGCCTGGGTTTATTGCGCTCTGGCTGTCCCCACCGGAGGCAGGGCACTGGGACCTCCCCTGGTCAGATGCGGAACCCCTCTGCTCCGTGCCACCCCGGAGGGCTGCAGGGCTCACGCTCACCTGACCCGTTGCCAAGTCCCTGTGGGGTGAGCGGCAGGCCGAGTCGGAGCTGCTCCAGGGAGCTGCAAGGACGGAGAAGCGGCATTAATGGGCTGGGGTGCCATCCTGCGCCCTCCTGGGAACTCTGCCCCGCTCCGCAGCCAGGGGCTCCGGACAAGCCCCTCCTGCCCTCCGCTCCTCCTCATGCTCCCGCCTGGCCGAGTGCTCAGAGCCTCCGCGTGAACCGCCTCCTCTCCCACCCGCCAGCTCCCCACCCGACTGCCGCGGTGCCTCGGCTTTGCTCCTATATAAGCTCCTTAAATCACACGGGCTGCTCAGAGGCGCTTACAAAAATAATGCCACGCAGCGGAGCATCCCCCGCGAATATCCTCACACTCCAGCTGCATCCTTGCTCCATTTCGCCTCAGCCAGAGAAAACGGACTTTGCCCAAAACTTTCCTAACATTGGCAGGTGACCTGGTGGGTTTTCTGTTGAGCTTTCTGGCCGGCCACTTCTCAGGAGTCTGACTGCAGGGCCAGACCCAAGAGCCAGATCTCTGCAAAGCCCCCTTTGCCAGCTCAGCCCCTCTGGAGTGCAAATCCGCGGGAGAAGCCCTGCTGGCACAGAGCACATCTGAAAGGACACGTCCTTCACCTTCCCACCCGGCCCCTGCTCCCCAGAGCTCCTCTGGCCCGGTTCTCCCAGGCTGGGGGGGGTGGCGGGGGGCAAGAGAGACTGCCGAAGAGAGCAGGTGGCCCGCCCTGGCCTCAGGATGCTCCATGGTGGAGGCTTGACACCCCCCGCTTCCTCACTTGTGAGGCGCGCATCCTCTGCCTGTGGGGCGCTGCAGGTGGCAGGTTGCCCAGCAAGAACGTGGGAAAGCCTCTGCCCCAGCCCAGGCCCCCCAGACATGCAGCACGGAGGCCGGGCAGATGGCTGCAAGGTCCGCTTGAGCCCACCCTGAAACTGCAAACACGGGTTGCAACACTAATCAGGGAAATCAGCTGATCAGGGCCCTGGCCTGCCCCACCTGGGCGCTTTCTGCAGTCTCCCCAGAAAAGGGCTGGGGCCCTGCCCGGAGGAACGTGGCTACTTACCCGTGGTTCTCCGCGGCCACACTCCCATTTTGCACAGGCAGGCCAGAGGGATGCGGGAGCGGCCGGCTCCGCGGGACCTCGGCCCCCTCCACACTCTGCGCTGGCACGGGCGAAGGCGCGCTTGCGTCCGGCACCGTCTCTCTTCTGCTCCTGGGAGAAGCTGACTCCCCCACGGCGGGCAGGGGCAGCGAGGGCTTCCTCCGCCCCTGCAGGGCTGCGGCAGCAGATGCCGTGGCACCAGCGGCTGCAGGCGGGCTCTCCGAGGTGAAGCCAAGTGGGGCGGAGGGCAGGGGCGTTCTGTCCGCACCTGTGGCGGCGCTCCTCGCTCTATCCGCAGGAGGTGATGCCAGCAAAGCCGACCCGGAGCCATCCTCCCTGGGCCTGCTCTGGGCCGGCGGGGCACTTCGTGCTGGCAGCTCTGCAGGCCCAGCCAGGCGCCCTGCAGGCGCCGGAAGCCCCTCAGCGACTGTGCTGCTTCCCCCTGGATCCGGCCCCTCCAGGATCGGAGGCCTTCCCGGAGGCTGTTCGGAGAAGGGCGCAGGCCCGCGGACGGGCGGAGAGGCGTGTGGGGGCAGCCCCGCGGTGTGCTCGGGACTGGCTGCTCGGTGCGTGAGGGGGAACACGGTTCGGGGCTTGGGCACCGGCTTGGCCGGCAGAGCAGCCGCCTCCATGCTCGGTGCTGGGTGCCGGCTCTGCTCATCGACATCAGAATTAGGCCCGGGGCCGGGAAAGGCTTCCCTGGAGATGTCGTCCTTGGTGCCGACGCTGCTCTTCTCCTCCGCTTTAGGCCCGTCCAGACAGCATGGGCTTCTGCCCGGCCCACGACACACGTCCCCCGCCATCTCGCCGCTCCTGCCTGCCACGAGCCCCTGCGTCCGCTGCACCAGGTTCAGCAGCCTCTTGCGGTGCCCAGTGGCCGTGATGCCGAGCTGCTGCAGGTCGTCCCGGCCGAGGGAGAGCACGTCCCTCACGCGGACGTACCCGTTCTGCCGGAAGGCGCCCTGGTACCGCTCCAGGTGGACGAGAGCCAGCCAGTCCGCGATGTCCGAGTGCACGCAGCACTGGGGGCGCATGTCCAGGAGGGGCCTTCGTCAGCCTACCATCTGCACGGGGAACAGAGGAAGCCGAAAGGTGTGGCACGCGCCACCTGAGCGACGGGCGGAGGAGACCGTGTGCCACGCAGCTCGATGGTGCCCCCTTGCCGAGGCAGCTGGCCGCTCCACTCGCAGGCTCGCCCAGGGCCGTCTTAGCAGCAGGATGGGCCCCAGGCAAAGCAGTGTCCTGGGCACCTACGACAACTACAGCTACTGTTAATTTGGGAGGTTTTCCCATTTTCCAAGGGTTAACACGCACAGATTAGCATGGGGCCCACGGGCAAGTGCCCACCAGGCCCACACGTTCAGACGGCCCTGGGCGAGCCCCCACGGCCAGGGCCCGGTGATGCCCAGAGCTCCGTGGGAGCGCCGGGCGCTTGCCAGGGGCCTGCCTTCTGGGAGGGGGCTGCTGGGGCGCGGCGGAGGACTGGCGCGGCGGGGGACCCGCCATGAGCCGGCCGGGGGCGCGCGGGAGGCCGGCCGCGGGAGCAACCAGGGCGCGCCGGCGGGCAGAGGCCTCCCTGCCTGCCGGCCGCCTGCGCGGAGCAGCCCCCGCGCGCCTCCCCCGGCCGCACCCGCCCTTCCACCGGGCCGAGGGCTGCGCGCCCGCGCGCCCGGCTGCCGCAGCGCTGCCTCTTCTCGCCCGCCTGAGCCCCGCCGTGGGAGCGGGCGCGGGCGCCGGGCCAGGCCTGCTCGGGCCGTATGCAGAGCGCTCCAGCCAAAGCCCCGTCGCGCTTTTCCCGCGGGGCGGAGCGGGGGAGCGGCGGGGCCCACCTGCCTCTGCCCCAGATCTCACCCGCCCGGCCACCCCCGGCTTCCCCGCGCTCGCCGAAGAGCGGAGCTCCCGCCGTCCCGCCTCGGGCGCTTACCCGGCCTTCCCCGGCCGCTCCGCGGGCATGGCGGACCGGCGCTCGGGCCGCGGCGGGTCGGGCCGGGGGCGCCCCGGGGGTCTCGGTGGCGGGATTCTCCCGGGTGGGGCTCCCCGCGCGCCGCGCCGCTCCGCTCCGCGCGAGGCCGTCTGCGCTGGCCCTGCCGCCGCTGGGTCTTTTTTTCCAGTTCCTCCATTTCCTCCCATTGTTCGGCGCAGGCTTCCTTCCTGCCGCTCCCCCACCCCGAAGAAGAGTCGTCCAGACGGCAGCGCTGCGCTCGCCTCCCGCGCAGCGCTGGGGCCCCGGCCAGAGGGCGACGTCTGGCGGAGGTGCGAGCCCCTCGCCGGGCAGGTGGAGGGCGGCCCTCGAGAGCCCTGCGCGGAACCCGCCGCGGCCCCTCGCGCGGGCGCCCAGGACTGCCTGCCGCGCACGGGACGCGCAAGGCGCCGGCTAGCCAGAAGGTCGCTCGCAGCGCGCGCCTCTTCCCTCGTGGGGCGCGTTTTCCGAGGGCCCCCAGCCGCCTCCCTGCCTCCCTGCACCCCAGCCGACTGCGCTTCTGCGATCCTTCGCACCAGGCCACACGCTTCCTTCGCTCCTTCTTAACCCCCTGCCCCATTCTCCATCTGGACGGTTGGCAGGCGAGGTCAGGATGGAGGGCCCCCAAAATTGCTTCAAGTGCGCAGCCAAGGGCTGGGAGCCACTCCTGACTGGAGTGCAAGGGTCGGAGCTGCCACCGGGGGCTCTCCTTTGCTCCCTTGGGGCTGAGATCCCGGCTGCAGCCTCCTCCCGTGGGACTGGGCTCCCGTTCCGTCTTTTCCACAGGAAAGCTTTACATCCTCCGCATGGCATTTCTGCCCATCCAGGAAGGGAGAAAAAGCTCAGCACAGGCCATGCAGCTGCAGGGTCGGCTCCACGACATTTTCTGAGATGTTGCGGTGTCGATGGCCCTTGGGGGCCCTCTCCCCGCCCCGCCACACCTCCTGTTGTCGTCTTCCCGGAAAAAAATCCGAAAAATGAAGGGCTGCTGCGCGGTGCCTTCGAGGTCCGCCAGCGCCCAAAGTGAGGAACTGGGCACTTGCCAGTGACATTTTGAGCACAAAGGAGCACCCCCCGAAATGCTGGCATGTCCATTGGCACTGAAACGCCCCTGAAGAGACACCCCCTTCCCTCCTAATGCAGAGCCAGCACTTTCTCTCCCCCGGAGCAGCAGCTGCCAAGGCGCACCGTTTTCATCTGGTGGCCGCAAAGCGGGGGGATGCGGAAGAGCGCTTGTGCCTCGGAGCGCCGGTCGCACTGCAGCACTAGCTGTATGCCTGGGGTCCTGGGCAAGCGGCTTCTCTTCCAGTCCCGCCTTTCCGGGAGAGGGCGCAGTGGGACTGGGCCGGCTCGCCGTGACAGTAACGTGTGTGGAAGATGGAGTCAGGCCGCGCTTGTTGTCTGCATCTGGCCAGCCAGGGATGGGCCAAACAGCACCGGGGGGGGGGGGGGGGCAGAGGGCAGAGCTTTCCCCTGCACCCCATGCAGCGAGGGAGGCCGCTGCCTCTGCTTCAGGAGGGTTTGCACCCTGAGCAGCGCCCTCCGGGCAGCTCCATGTACCTGCAACAGGGAGGGAAGCACCTGACCCGCCCAGGCCCTTTAGCTGTGCGGCTGCTGGAAGAACAGGAGGCAGGCCTTGGGCGGGCCTGGCAGAGGCCTGCAGTCGGAGAGCAGCTCGGCTCCGCTCGGCTCTGTTGTGGCCTGTGGTTTTCAGGGCCCTGAGATTTTGCTGTCTATCATCCCCGGAGGACTAAACCGAAGAGGTGCCACATTCACATTGTAAGTGAACAAATGAACCGGAAGAAGTAAGGAACACGAGGAGCCCCGCCGGATCAGGCCAAGGCCGATGGAGCCTTCCCCAACAGCGGCTGAAACCCCGCCTGCTCTGCCGTGCGAAAATTACGACGCGGGAGGTGCAGCATGCGCTGGTCCGGGTTCCTCAGGTGAACCTGGGCCGTGACCAGAGTCAGCGTGCAGCTCCTGCCCCAGGGGGCTTCTCATGCCCGCGGCCTGAGCCTTCCGTGCAGAAGGGGGAGGAGACGAGCCGGAAGAGCTCGGATCCCCGGGATTCCAGCACTTCTCCACTGCTAGTCCCATGCCTGGGAAGGCAGCTGGGTGGGCTGAGACGCCCTGCGAAGGCAGTCTTTCCCAGGCTGGCTGGGGGCTCTGGGTCCCCTAAATCCTTCTAAACTAGCCTGATGTAACTCCAGCGCAGATGCAGCCCTTGATGCCTGTATTGCAGGTATCCCCAGACAAGCCGTGACCTGTTGCAGGGTTCTTTGCGTGGTTCAACCCCGAAGCAACCTCTGCTGCCCACGATCAGGCCTTGTAAAAAGCTGTGGGGACCCTCTGCCAGGTGCGGAGTGCTTGGAATGGTCCCGACCTGCAAAGCCCAGAGTGGCCCGTGACTGGCAGGCGGCTGTTTGCAGTTTCAAGGAAGTATTTCAAGGCTCTGGCAATCGGTTTTGCACAGGAGTTTGGGCCTGCTGCAGAGAGAGGTCACCTTCTTGCTGGGCATGTGACCACCACTGGTGTCTCATTCGGAATGAATCACGTGTGGCCTGAGCTAATCTCTGCGCAATCAGCCGCTTCCTGCTCCCTTTCCGGCCTGAGGATACTGGGAGGCTCCCGGTGCTGCCGGCCAACAGGAAGCCCCACCAAGTGCACTCTGGGGGAGCCCCCACCATTCTGGGCCGTGTCACTTCCGGGATGTGGACTCTCGACTGGGTCCGGCTCCGATTCTCATGTTCCCGCTGGAGAGGCTGCTGCTTGCAAGCCGAGTGGCATCCTGTGCTCTGAGCCCGGCCCACGTGTGGGGCTGAAGGGGGCCACGCACTCCCAGGTGCAGAAGCGGTTGTCCAGTTCAGGGGCTTCTCAGGCTGAGTCCTGGTTTCCTGCAGCTGGACAGCCCTTTGTGAGGGATGCTTTGGAGGAGGACAACGGGGCCAGAATTCGTCCTGGGTTCGTCTTTCTTTATACTCCGGCACCCGGCCACAGTGTGATGGCACTAATGATGCATGATGGCGTCTGCCATTTTCTGGGTTCACACCCAATCCCAGCCATTCCCTGCTCTAGAAGCCCACACAGAGATGGCTGGAAAGGACAGGGCAGACCCTGGAGGAGGGCAGCCCCACAAAAGGGCGGGCAAGCCCCGCTCGTGGCTCGGGCGGAGAAGCCCTCGGGGCCCGGAGCGCGGCGGCGGCGGGCTCTCCCTGTGCGCCAGCGCCACCGCGTGGCCGCCCTGCGAGGCGCCGCGGGGGGAGCCGCTGCGGTGAACGCGGAGAGAGCGGCTTCCTGCGCGGGGGGTGGGGGGCTCTGCGCGGTCACGCTTCGGACTGGCCCGCGGTCCCCGCAGGCGCATGCTCACGACGCCTCGCTCTCCGGTGCGAGCAAGCCCCCCGCTTTGCCCGGAGCAGGGAAGCAAGGGAACTGCAGCGGCGATGCCCGGAGGCAACGCCGATTTCCGGCGGCAGGTGGATGAGGCGGCGCGCGCGGGAAGAGGGGCGCCTGCAAGAGCCGAGGCGGACAGGCCCGTGCCGGGGGCCCCCCAGCCCGGAGGCCGGCTGCACCCAGCCGCGGGCACGGGGCTGCTCCTATCCGGGGGGGGGGGAGCCCAGCAGGCCAGAGCGCCTGCTTTCGGAGGGAGCCAGACTGGACGGTAGCCACGCACCGACTCTGGATTTGGGCAGCACTAATTTTAGTACGCTCAGAACAATGAGAATTCCGGTCCCATGGCAAGTGGCCCTAAGGAAAAAAGGATAGGATTGGTAGTTGCTTCTGAAAAGGAGATTTAAAAGGCAAACAAACAAACAATTCCAGCAAAAGCAAAAGAGAGAAGGAGCTGACATGTTTGGGAAGCAGAAGGAGGGCCAGGTGGCAAGAGAAGAGTGCAGAGAGGTGGCCCAGAAGTGCAGGAGTGATGCCAGGAAATGACAGAAAATTGACAGTGATAAAAAACTTGTCAGGATCGTCTAATCGGATGGAGTGAGTTGCATCTCCGGGGCCCACTGAACTCCACCCTGGAGTCCCAAGAAGCAGGACGACTCCATCCTGAGTCACTCCAGTCCTGGGCCC